ACGTCAAGCTTATACTCTATCCAATCGTATTGCAATGTAGCCTGCCAATTTGCTGTCACTCTGACTTGTAAAACATTCACTATATAGGTAGATTGACATCTTGTACAGGTTAGTTGGTAGCTAAACTCAGTGTATACAACATCTTTTTCAAGTTTAGTATTAAATATATTTTGATCCAGTACCGGCTCTTCCTGAGTAAATCCTACAAGTTACAAGACAAGAACCCCTGTAACAAATTGGCGGAGAACCTCGGGTTTCTTTTTAACATATCGAGAGTCGTGGTAGACGAACCAGGACCTTTGGTCCTAACTCCGGGTTTTCCTGAAGACACCAAGGGCGCTTTGCAAAAAGGTATGAGATTCCTTTGTTAACACCTCAGCCTAGTTCCTTTGATAGTTTTTCTTGGCACATGGATGCCACCTTCATTAGGTATAGTTGCTCTAATTTCTTATGCTTATGCTTCAGTTTTTCTGTGTCAATGACACTTCTTACGTAAATTTTTGCCGACACAAACTGAGTGACTGTCAAGTCTTGACCTCCGCAAAAACCACAGGCTTTTGTCTCTCACTTGAAACCCAAATTGTATAGTTTTCATGTAAATTTTCCTTTAGATCGAATGAAATCGAAAACAATTTCGCCATTCTGTCTCGACCATTTAAATCACGCGACCATTTATATAGAAAGTGCAAACAAACACCAAAAACCACTACTACGATTACGACCGATAAAAACACAATGCCTACCCCCAAAGATGCTGTTACACACGACGATTTACAAGCGTTATCGGAAAACCTTACCGAGATGATGCGAAAACATGTTGATATTTTGACTTCGGCGTTTAAAACCACCACGCAGACTAGTCAGCAACAATTTGGCCAGCTTCAAGAAAGCCTTAACAATTTTGAGGGAAACGCCCCTACCATTAATGCATCGGTCTCAGGACTAGGAAACCGCGCTCCTCTCTTTTCTGGCAACGCGCGTGATGACCCAATGATATTTGCAGAACAATTTGGCCTGTATGCTCAACTATGTAATTGGACTGATGCGCAATGTCTGCTAGCCTTTCCACTTTCTTTAACCGGTCAGGCACGGCTATGGTTTTCCTCTTTGCCTGCAGATTCTTATAAAACTATGACCGAGCTCACTAAATTGTTTAGGGACAGATTTTTGTCTTCTTCTGATAATTTTGTTCTTCGACAAAAACTCACGCAAAGAAAACAACTTTCCTCTGAATCAGTTGATAGTGTTGTTACTGATATTCGAAGACGTTGCCAACGCTTAGGCATAACTGAAGATGAAGAGATGTTACATTTCTTTGTTACTGGACTACTGTCCGACCTACAGTCCCACGTTATTTTGAATAAACCGAAAACATTAGCGGAAGCTGAGGAATTAGATAAATTAAAAAGTTTAGTATCTTCTACATCCCCTTCTTTTTCACTAGCGGATGTGCAGAGTCTTCAGAAGCAGTTTATCTCTCAATTGAATTCAGTTCAACATCAAAATGATTCGCCAAAACCTCAACAAAACAAATCCGTGAATGCTTGCGCTTTTGATGAACCTAGCCAGTACGGACCTTGTAAGACATTTGATTCTCGCGAGTTAAGACAAATTATTCGACAAGAGCTTAATACTTTTTAATCGCGTACACAAAATGGTAATCGTCAACAGCAAAATCAATCCCGTAATTCGAACAATAATTTTCGACCGCGTTATAATACACGTGGYTCTTTTGACAATGATGATTGGCGTACGGTTTCGGGTAACCCCATATGTCATCTTTGCCGACAATTAGGACATGTCGCCCGTAATTGCCAGAATGTTCAACGTAATCCACGTCCTCMAGTGCCTAATCAGAATTTTCAAGCACCCAATCCTCAGTATTATATGCCGCCAATCCCACCGCAACATTATCAAAATCCGGGGACACCGCAAGCTTTTGCTAACCCCCCTCCTCCACCCCAACAGTATGTTCCACGTCCTTCTCAAACTCAGCAACAATTTTCAGGGAATCAACCTCGTCCACAAAACCAGGGAAACTAGTAGGGTCTCACGGATACGGAGAGTTCCGTGGGACTGAACCTGAACCCATTTTATTTTATAATTCACAAGTATATGATCTATGTCCATATGACACTTTTGATTATCCTCTAGATGATTTTTCTGATACTCAATGTAGTCCAATTAGATCGAGTGATTTTAGAACTTCCGTTAGTAATACTAGTACTTTTGATGTTTTTCATGACAGGTCAAATTTCTCACCAAATTTGTCCTATAATGCTTCGGAAAAAAAAGTCGATACACATACTGTCGTTACACATCAGGCTTTACTCACGCCTTCGCATACTTATGTCATGCCTCCTGCTAGCTGTCACGCAGCTACATTTTTCGATACTAGTCCTTCTCTTACGTATGATGTGTCATTTCATTATCCCAAAGTTATGCATGCTACGACACATCCTCCTACACCTATTTTGCCTAATTTCCGCATCACACTTAGCGATGTTATACATGATGATCCTTCGCCGTGTAATTACAATGATCCAATGCCTGATAATGAGACAGGTGTACCAGATATTCAGAGTATAGTCGAAGATACAATAATCGAATCACGTAATGATAATGAAGTTGTTTCCGCCGAAAATGATTTTCTGCAAGCCATTGAGCTTAATGTTGTAGATGACTGTGATCGCCACAAGTTTTTAAACAGCCTTATCAAACTCATTAATAATTCATAGGATTGTAAGCCAATGATAT